CTTCAAAAAAAACAACCTGCTACCCACAGTCCAACTCACAAATTATAAAGAAGTTCTACAAACACTAGAATTATATTCAGCATCACAAACAAGTGTGTGTGTGTTTATTTCTTTTTAATTCCTAATGGGATAGCTAGTTTAAGTCCCAGGAGAACAAATGTATCACGGGATTTGAAAGAGAAATGAAAAAGAAACAGAGATAACATAACATAGGAAACACAAACAAAGCATAGAGAGACAGAAAAAACAGAGACTACGGAAGGGAAGACAAAATGTATTGACAGAATTTTTGAGTTCCCAGTTGGAATTTTTATCTGGAACTCCCCCTTAACCTGGATTTTCCATTTGGAAAGTTTGAGCAACTGCTCCACCAGGAGGTTAACAATCCATAATGCTGGCAGTGGATGTTATAAAACAGCAGTACAACTATAACTTGCTGAATAAGCCATATGCCGAGTCCACAGACGTGCTGCAGCGAAGCACAAACAACAAATGTTATGCTGTATTGCTTGTGATACTCAAATAGCTCTACCTGCCAGAGAAGCAAAAATAAATCCTGTTTTTCCTTCTTTTTCCAACTTTCCTACTGCAACTCACTAATGCATATACCTGACATCACTCCAGAGTTTCAACATCTGACTTCTGAAGTAATATAAATTTAGAGAGTTGAAAATAGCCATCTGTTAAAATATAATATTGAAAATAAAAAGAGAAAGAGAGTCAAGCCTAAAGTTTTTTTTTTTTTGGTTACATTTGTATTTGGTAACCTGTCATTTAAACATTATTGTTGGATTATGGCAGTTTTAGGTATTAAAATGCTATTGAACTTTCGGGCGCTAGAGGGTGCATAGTGCGCTGTTGGTATCGAGTAGTGTTTTGGGGCACAGAGGAAGAGTAAAACTTCCTGTTATGAAGCTCAACTTGTGTACTGTTTCTACTCTTTATCACAGCATTATACATTGCTGGCAAAGGAAACCAGTTGCCCCTCTGACCACCAACTTAGGGAGACAACAAATTTGGCCGCTTGTCCGGTATTAGTGCCGTGGTAGTCATGTGCTGATCAACTAAGAGCCGTGGGATTCATGTCCCTATGCTTAACAGCACTACTATCCAGAGCGACAGACTTCAGCTATCCAGGCATGGCCACTTGGCACGACCTACAATGGGAGATCCAGCAACAGCTTAATCAGCTGACCAGTGGCGCCAACTCGGAATTGCTCCAAAAACTTGCAATATCATGTCAAGAAGAAGAGGTGGAAAATCTTCCTCGTGATGACGTAACTGAGATGGAACTCTTTGATTTTATATTTGACTTTCTGAGAAGTGAACGACTGAAGAGCCTTGAGGATCAGGGGATGTCTCGCCTGCTGATCGGGGGTAGGTGTATGGTAAATTGTTATCTAGATGGGGTCAAACTTTAGATGTTATTGGATAGTGGGACCCAGGCAAGCATAGTGGAGAATTTTTGGGTGCAGAAAGCCTTGCCAAATGTGACAATTAAGCCACTTGAAAGTGTACTCTCAGACCACCCACTCAAAGTCACTGTAACTAATTGGATAGCTGTTCCACTTGATGGGTGGATAGAAGTTCTTCTTGAGATCACAAGTAGCAAACAAGCCTCAGTTGCTCTTTATGTTCCCATGCTAGTAAGTCAACAAGCAGCCCATTACTAGGCTTCAGTGTAATACAAGAGAAAAATGCTGGGAACTGTGATCAAATAGATAACACCAACTTAGTGGATCTTCTTTTAGAGGCTTTGATAATTCTGAAGAGTGATGCTGAAAGTTTTGTCTGTGTGGTCAACTCAAAGCCACCCCTGGAAGAGTCAGAATGCCCAGTATTGAGAGTTGGCAAGAAGGGACTCACCATCCACCGCAATAGTCAGATCTGCAAGGTGAAATGTCACATGAGAGCTTTTCCTGGAGGA